CGTAATAAGAAATGTTCAGATAATTGGACTGTGAAAGGTATATTTGAGAGAAAATAAAATAAAATGGTAGGAGGGAGTGAAGAAAAATAATAAACGAAGGGAAAATTTGAAAAATTAATAAACAAATTCATTTATTAAGGCTAAGGGAGTGATAAAGGTGTTACAAATTTCTTATCAATACAAAGACTTGGGTTGTTGGCTCGAATTCCCATAGCTCCTGCTATACGTAAGAGTCAAGATCGAACCCCATAAGAAAAACCAGTAGGAATACGATAAATAACTTATTTCTGTCTATTACGTGACCGCTGAGTATTATCTTGACAGTACCTTTTCCTAACCACGAAGAGAGGTATTCACTAAATGTTTGCCTCAGTTGTCTGGTAGTGCTCTCAATATAGGTTTCTCCACAGAAGCAGCTGAGTTCGTAGATACACATAGAAGTGGCATAACCAGATAACTTATCCTTTGCTTGAGGAATCATCATAGATCGGGTCGAGTACGATAGACAGAGACTGGCTGCATTAAACGTTCTCTTCACTGCTCTAGTCAGTCTATCACGTAGCACATCACCAGTTACATCTCCATTGAATTGCAGCTTCAGGAAGAGAGGGTTCTTACTAGCCGTTGATGTCGCTATTTTTCTGTTTGTTACATGCCTTGGTTGGTTTAATAATTGCGTATATGCATATACATATTACTGTATGTTAGAGTAAAGCCTGATGAGGATCTAATCGAAAACAATATTGTTCGCTTATATCTGTTGTTCTAAATCACAATATGGGCGTTTTTCAAATTTTAAGTATTGACTAATAGTTTTGAATTTTACTCTACTAAAATTCAATTTGATCTACTGGATAATATTATTGAATGCCACATAGAAGTTTGTCTCAAGGCTGATGAAACAAGGACAGGATTTAGATACCGAGTTAAATCAATCTAATTGTTTTTAACGCATTCATGTTAAAAGATTTTGTTGGGATTAGTTCACATTTTATAGGTGTTGCTCGTCAAAAATGACATCAGCTGAGGCATAGGATAGCTCTTTTGTCATATTATGAGACTCATCAGTAATGAGTCCCCATGACTCTATCAGAGACCAAATCCATGGCATTCATTCCTCGTAGGAGCACTTTACCTTCAGATCATTGGAATGGAACTCAATGGTCCACGTTTTCAGCTGGAATATTTTTTTTGTTTTGAAAACCCATTCAATAAAATTTATGGGGTGGCTTGTGAATAAATTAATGAATCTCAATCAATTTTTTTAAATATGCAGAAATTATTTATATTTTCAATGATTGTTTTGTTTAGAATGTATTTGAGTAATGTTTTTTTGATAACTGCGATAACTTACATTCAAAGATCGACTATATTAATAATTGTGTAGATCAGTCAATTCTGTAAATTGTAGTATCAAGATTTTGGTTATTTATGTATGCCATGATATATCACTAGTAGAAGTGATTGATGACAAAATCCAAGGAAGAGCTATAGAATATGCTGGCTTTAATTAATAGTAAACAACATTTTGGACTGTTAAGGAGACTAGCTCAAAATGAAATACTGGTCAGATGGACTATCGATGTGATGTACACTAGTCAATAACCGAATTTACATCAGTTAATGATCATCGGTCTACACTTGATTTATCATTATTTTGATCACTGCCTACATTATATGACTGTGATGAAAAATGACCAAATTTTGAAAAATCTAAACAGCTTTAAATCAATAAGTCATACATGGAATATCAGTGAAAAATAGATCGTTGAATTTAAAAAAAATATATTGAGTCGAAGTTAGGGGTGGTGAATATTATTATTATTATTATTATTATTATTATTATTATTATTATTATTATTATTATTATTATTATTATTATAAGATTACAAACCAATTTGAACTTCACTTGGGTACAGAATTCAATCTGTACTTTACAAGTTGAACAGAATATTTTACTATCGCTATTATTATTATTATTATTATTATTATTATTATTATTATTATTATACTGTTAGACCCTAACTTATCTACCAGCATTAAAAGCAAGCGGATTTCAGGCTCACTTCAATGAATATATATATATATATATATATATATATATATATATATATATATATATATATATATATATATATATATATATATATATATATATATATATATATATATGGAGAGAGAGAGAAGGAGAGAGGGAGGTTAAGAGGGAAAGGGAAGAGGGAGATAGTGAAGTAAATGCTTAATTAGGACTATTCGTCTTTTCATGATAAAACTGTGATAGCCCAAATATAGCAGAGAGACAGAGCGAGAATGTTTAGATATATTCACAAATTAGTAAAGACATATGCGTTCTTTGTTTTTGTGTGCAAAATGTCTTTATATTTTTTAGCTTTATTCAATCTTTGTCTGAATAATGTACATTATCTAGATTTTACTTGTATATACATTCGTTTACTGTCTATCATGTCTTCAACCTCTTTAGTGGAAGTATGTATATACATATATTTGCACAAAGTTCTAATAATTTCGTTTAATAAATAAGGCAGATGTGAGAAATACTTGCGTGAATAGAAGTAGATATCTGTCATACAACTCAGCTTCATTTTATTCAGCCTAAACCAATTTAAAGAATGCAGTTTAGACCGAGTTTGCTTAACACAGGCTGCATATATATATATATATATATATAGTTTATTCTGGTTAGCGTATTTTAACAATATTGTTTTCTGCGGAATGTGGCTGTTTAATCAATGCCCGACTCTCCTCTTTTAGCTTAACCTGGGACCGACAGTAGCCCTACAGGCATGGAATACAACTAGACGATTTGGACTTGGAAGATAACCTAGCTCCTCCACCCCATGCACACCAACAAATATCACTGAAGATAGTCAGTGTAGCAGAAGCCTCTGCATCGGTAGACCTCAACATACACAAAGGAAAAAGCAACATCCTCAAATACAACACAGAAAACACCAACCCATCCACATTCGATGGAAAAGCTCTGCAAGATGTGCAATCTCTCACGTACCTCAACAACATCATCCATGAACAAGGAGGATCCAATGCAGACGTAAATGTGAGGATTGGCAAGGTAAGGATAGCACTCCTACAGTTGAAGAACATATGAAATTTAAAACTACCGTCAACCAACATCAAAGTGAGAATCTTCAATGAGAATGTCAAGACAGTTCTACTGTACGTACGGAGATGAAACTTGCAGGACTACCACAACTATAATCAAGACAGTACAAGTATTTATGAACAATTGTCTACGTAAGATACTCTATGTCCGTTGATCTGATGCCATCAGCAACAATCTGCTGTGGTGGAGAAAAACCACGTTGGAGCAGAATTGTAAATTAGGAAAGGGTGCTGGAAGTGGATGGGACATACTTTTCGGGAATCACCAAAGTGCATTACGAGGCAAGCGCAAGATCGTAGAACACAATGCTTGAGATATGTTTTAATTTGATCGATAAATTCCCATATATTAAATTTATCTTACTTGAATCTGTGAGATGATGTCGACTAAGGATACTTTAAAAATATGTTGTCTTAATCTTCTAGATTATTTGTGAAGTGTATGGAAGAACCTTATTTATACGCGAAACTAACTCGTAATGAACTGAAATTTTGCATTCTGATGGCTAATACATTATATCCTTGAAGAGAAAATTGATCACGATATGAAAGTTAAACAGCATCAGTCATGTTGAAGATATGCAACTCAGGCGGATGGTTTGCTTAAAGCTATGTTCCTCGGGCTAGATGGTTATTTTGTGAAGATTGCATTATCGTTCTTGATAGTAACATCAGAGCCTACTTCATTTAGAGGTGAGCTTTTCAATCGTTCTTCAAATGTTAAATCTGTTGGTTCTAATGGCGTTATTTATGATTGATAATTTTTGTGTTTTAATGTGTTGATTTGTTCTTTCATTTCTGTCGTCTGTTCTTTTCATTTGACTTCTAACCGTGTGAATAATCGAATTTCTCAGTGTGTTGACTACCTTCCCCAGTTGGTCTAAAGGCTCTAGGTTCAATTTCTGGAATTATATATGCAAACAGTTGAATAGTCGAATAGTAGGTTAAAAAAGTTATCATATTCTTATCAGTATGGGGGTTGTGGAGATTGTTAAGTTTTTTTGATTAAAATCATGGATCAATTGATGTTAGACCACCGTTGGAAACCTGGAAGCACTGGACGGCCGTTTCGTCCTAGTATGGGACTCCTCAGCAGTGCGCTTCCACGATCCCGCTCCCCGCGAGATTCGAACCCAGTTTTCAACCTAGTTTTCAACAGCAATTTAATCAAGTTCATTCTATGATATGAAAATTCAAATTCAGTAATCAGTTATACAGTCAGGAGTTAAACGAAAAAAAAGTCAATGAAAAGGCGAAATAGAAAGACCCAGATAAACTATTAATCATAATCAGTGCCATTAGAACGAACTGATTGAACACTTGTAGAATGACTGGAAAACTCACCTCAATACTATGTAATCAATGATGATATTGTTAAAAACAAAAAAAAGCTCCACAAATAAATAATTTTATTCAAAGAAAATTACATCACTAGAAATAAAATAATCAATTTTCTGTTGATCAACATAATTATATACTTATTTTATGTCAAATAATGATTTCTCATAGATGATTTCGTCATACAATATAATTTGAGCAGTATATTGCTCAACTTTCTTTATCGATCGACTAAAAAAAAAACAAAACAATAATAATAATTTTCCTAATCTATATGAGCACTCTGAATGTAAAAAAAAAATTGTATATTTATATCAAACATGAAATAATTAAAGCACAGAATAGAACAATTACAAAACATCATTGAATTTGTATATTTGATTACATTTATTCAACTAGAATAAATTAGATCTCTCTTTCTTTTTCTTCATGAACTTATTGAATGTGAATAATATTCATTGAGAATTACTTACATTATCCATTGGAATTCATTATTACATTAAATTAAAATCAATATTATTATGAAACATATTAAACATTTATTACAATTTCTATGGTTTATTATTATTATAACATTCTATATAACAATAATACATGTGAAATGTCTTATTCCAAAATTATGTGTTCATAATATCACAGCAATTGGTGGAAGTGGTATTTGTTGTCCAATACCTAAAAATTCTAAATATCCATGTGGTGGTCCAGGTCAAGGTACATGTCAAAAAGAATATACACAAATTGAACGTATACCATTTTATTTAATTATGGATGATAGAATGAATTGGCCATCAAGATTTTTTAATCATTTTTGTAAATGTGAAGGTCATTATTTTGGTATATCATGTAATGAATGTTGGTATGGTTGGGAAGGTAAATTTTGTAATAAACGTAAAAAATATATTCGACGTAATATATTATCATTTTCTCCAAAGAAAAGAAAAATGTTTGTTCATGTTGTAACAAAAATGCTTACTACTCCAACGGATTATTTAATATTATTTGAAAAAGATGCTATACATTCTGATCCATTATGGAAACCTAAATTTTTAGATGTAGATGTACAGTATTTATTATCTTTTCTACATCGTTACGCGAGCAGAGCTACATTATTTCATGATGCTAAAGATTGTATACTACGTCAACATTTGGATAATAATCATGAAGTAGTTGGATTTTTAACTTGGCATAGATATTATATGTTATTTTGGGAAAAACTTCTACGTAAAATTGCAATTCAACTATATGGTTGGTCAGATTTCACATTACCTTATTGGGATTGGGTCGATTCTACAAGTTGTGATGTTTGTGTTAATAGTTTATTAGGTGGTTATGGACAGTGGGTTGGAGATACTCGTTTAATAGACCGTAGAAGTCCATTTTACATGTGGCCTGAATACTGTTCTCCTCCAACTACGGGAAGTAACTGTTATAGTTGTCATGCTGGTTGGCCAAACTTTCGAGTATTGACAAGATATTTCGAAAGTTCAGCATTTCCAACAACTGATAACCTTTTGTTCACTCTTTCAAAGGATACGTAAGTTCTTTTTTATCATTCTGGTTTTATAAACATTGCATCACAATCAAAACATGATATTGTAAATGATACAATGGCAAATAGATTTCAATATTTGTAGAATTATAAAATATATTTCCTGTGAAATATTTATTTATATTATTTTAACATTGGTTTAACCAATTTCATGTATAGCTATAAGTGGAGAATAAATTTTGCTCATGAACTTACATTCACGCCTTTAATAAGTTAATTTAGAGTAGATTTATCCCTTTTCATACACGACCTGACTTTTCAAGATATATTGATATTTTATACTTAATCAGATCTCCAATTTCAGTATAATCACTCATCTCACTATGGATTTTGTAATATCTTTGCTCTTAGATCTTAAAAAATGAAGTTGCTCAGCTATTATAAATAATTTTAAGCAGTGGATATTTTCGATACTGTTTATGTAAATACCTGGCGAGTAACTCTAAACAAAACTGAGCCTAATTTCCACTATGCATTAATTCTTATTGGTTATGTTGAGGATCTTGGTTTAATGAATCAGATAATGAAATAAAATTACTAACAAATAAACACAAAAAAGATTCGATTCCATAAAATATAGGAGAGTCGTTGAAACGAGAATTAAAAACGATACTTTGACGAGTTCCAATTACATAAACTTGTAATAATATTGATTGCTAGAAATCATACTTAAATAGATTTAATAAATAATGTTTATAAGCTAATGTGTTACTAAGATCTAAACAAATATACCGAGGTTCCAAAAGTACCATAGAATGGTGAAAAAATGTGTATGTTAACGCGCTAAATTACTAATTGAGTATCAGATAAATTCACATCATATGTACTCTTACGGTACACAAAGTTTCCAGAAATGTTACACTTGCTTAGTTCAATTTAATTAATGTTAATTAAGTTCAAAAGTTACTTTATTGCATACATTTTAAAATAACTAGAATCTGCTTCTTGTCGAACCTTTGCATTTTATTTATCAAATTCTTATGTTTATAATAATTACAAACATTACCAGAACGAGGGGTTGTGGAGATTATAGTGGTTTTAATAGTTTAGTTCATGAGTCCGATGAAGCCAGATCACCGGTGGAAACATAGAAGCATTGGACGGCCGTTTCGTCCTAGTATGAGACTCCTCAATAGTGCACCCACGATCCTGTATGTGGGATTCGAACCCAGGCCTTCTGATCTCGCGCGTGAAGGTTAAACCTCTAGACCACTGAACCGGCATCCAGCGGTGGATGCGCACTTTTGAGGAGTCCCATACTGGGACGAAACGGCCGTCCAATGCTTCCAGGTTTTCAATTGTGGCCTAGCTTAAATCGACTCATGAATTCAACTATTAAAAATAATTACAAATATATTTGTTAGCATGATTTATTTAGTAAATTATTTCTAAAACGTTTTTTCTAAATCTCAGGGGATCTAGTTGTAATTTTGATGTTTAGAAATATGTCTTTTGAGTAATCTGTTATATTTTAATAACTCGGATTTTTACTATAATGAATTAATTAAGTAATGAGTAATGACTACAAATGTGAAAAAAAGTTTCCTAGAAAGTAATCAGTTTAAACTTATGTCACATATCACACAAAGATCTGGTGGAAGAAGAATTATGAATAATTGTAAGTCAAGCTTTCTTTTAAATACTTTATAGTTCCCTATTTATTTTATAACAGAAAAAATATATTTATCTGTTGATAGGTTTTATTTGCCCCAAAAGATGGAGGATATTGGTAAATGTCGTGGTTTTCATCAAGTTCTCGAAGGATTTTGTTCTTTTACCGGTGACAATTCAACTTACTCATTTATGCATAATAAAGTACATAATATAGTGCGTGGTACATTTTGTTGTGCAGCAACTTCACCTAATGATCCTATATTCTTAGTACATCATACACAAATAGATAGAATTTTCCAAGTAGGTTATAAGCATTGAATTATCATATATATGCTGAACATTTTATTCTTTAACTAATTATCTACTTGTAAACCGTTAATGACTTCAAATCATATATTACAAGTTACAGTAAACTTTATTCTTAAAAATAACCAGTGAAGATATTCAAACTCAAATAAATTATTAAGTTATTCGGATGAAATTGGTCAGCTTGAAATGATATTTTAAGAATATTTTAATCTTCAAAGAATTTTAGTTAATTAAATATGAACTAAATTGTTTAATCATATCTTGTACAGTTTTTCAAAGTATTTATTCTGAACATTTGTACAAGTTGAACACAAAGTGAACTCTGTTGACAACCACTGGAGTAAATCGGCCCAGTTAATTGGTACATAATTTCGATCATAAATGAAAGTTAGCTAATCATGATTTCCCAATTATCTTGTAAAAACGATGAGATATTTTCTACAAAAAGAAAAAAACCGATGATGCCCATGAAGTGTAACTTTACTTCAACACTTAGATGATAAAAACAGATATTGGATTTATGTATATTGAGTCAAATTGAAAATAACACAATAATACAAAGACAATATTAGATCACAGTAGTCCTATATCGTGAAGTGATTGAAGGTAGACATGTAAACCACTTGATTCTGACTCAGTGCTCCAAATGTTTTAATACTGACAGCGAGATCAAGGAGTTCGTGAGTCCTCATTACTGAGGGTTAGGTAACTAAGATGTGATACAATTGTTTTATGATCTTTGATTTTTAATGATTCTCCATGCATTGTCAGTCACCGTTAAAAATAATCCGTATATTTTATATTCATCAATTTACTTTAAAATGATTAAGCTTCTTTAGTAGTCTAAACTCAAAACACTTTATTATATGCAAAATGATTTCATATTCAGATATATGAAATTATGTAAGACAAATTCCATTTCCAATAAGTCACTGGACTTTGTAATACAATGCTTTATAATTCAGTTTGCTGTTTTCCTGTACTTATTGTTATTATTGTTATTTTGTATAATAGTTATGGTTTATGTATAATCGTCCACGTCCAACGGAGTATCCAAATCATGGAGTTGCACTTGGAAATTGTCGTGAATGTAATATGGTTGGTTTCATTCCTACAATTAAACACGTATTAATGTTTGTAAATACAGAACTGATAGGTTATACCTATGATAATTTTAATTTCGGTAGACGTGGCTTTAGTGGAGAAAAATACTTGAAATGTGGTCCTAAATATCGTGTCTAATTTATTATTTACTTCAGATCATAAAAATTTAAAGCATAAAAACTGAAATTGAATACTTTTGATCAACTTTAAATGAACAAATACTATTCCAAAAATTCCTGCTGTGGTTTTCTACCAAATCAATCAGATTAGTACTGAAAGAAATTGAAAATAAAGCGTAAATAATTGTTTGGTTTTGCTCAGTTTGTAAAGTTTTCATTTTGATAACACTTATGGAAACAACATTGGAGATTTTAAATATATATACAATTTTCCCGGAGTTCTGAACATTGGAGATTAATCATGTTGGGAGTGAAACAAGCAACATCTATGGTAGGGGATGATGATCACACAGTTTCGTTGATTGATTGATGTTAGAAATGTAAATCATTCAATTCAAACTCAGTAATATATAGATGAAATGTTAACTGAGAGGCCTGAAGTTTCTCGGTTCTATTGGTAGTAAGTTCGTAGATGTACACTACGGGAAAGCCACATACTAGGCCAAAATAGCTGTTCAGTACCTTCTAGCTTTCCCTGACTATTTAACGAAAGTCAGTTCATGTAATAAAACTAGAAAACTGAAGATTATTATACACCAGAAAATGATCGTCTACTTCATTTTCAAATTGATTCACTCAGAAAAATGGGAAGTTAAGAAAAAATTCACTGTCACCTAAGATATTAAAAACATATTGTATTCTATTCGCAAATAGAATCCTGATTTCAGTGCATCATGTAAAAACGTTGTAAACAGTTCGCCTTTTTAGATGCTCCATTAAATCTTATTTAAGATAATTCGACATAATTTAAATATCGTCATAGTGATAAAAAAGAACAACGGTATTTTCCTTCTGTTTTAATGCATGACTTCATCAATCTCAGCAAATTCGAAAATTAAAGTGATCAAGGGGTATAGTGATTTAATATTTCAATGAATGTAATAATATACGAAATAAATGGTGTATCATCGTCATATAAACGATTATTTAGTGCACAATCAAATAACTGATCATGTCGAATGATGAAGGGACACTGATGAAACTTACCAAAAGTATATAAAGACTAAGAATATCAAGAACATTTGGTCAACTCAAATTATATTTACATATATTACTAACCTTAACTATAAACAAATGAATAAAAGTTAGACAACTAAATTATATCCAGTCGCAAATAAATTACCCCTATGAACTTTCTTTTCTTTAACAGTCCATTTACGTAAATTATTCAATTAGTTGAGAATTTCTAGTGTCAAACAATTTTTATGTTCCATTACAAACAAGGATTTATTAGAAAGTGATTCATTTTCATGAATTGAGAATACTTGACTTCAGGATTTACGGTATCTAAAATTCACGTTCATATTGAGTAAAGCATAAAACTACAAAATAGTCAAGATGAATTAGTTTATAAGATAACAGAGGAGATTTCTAAATCAAGTAAGTACATTTGTTTGTGTTGTTCTATCTGCGATAGATAGTTTAGTTTTGAAACTTTCACATTCATTCTGAACAACATCATCAGAACCTACTTCATGTTGAAATAGGTAATTTTAAGTTATGGCTAATAAATAAATTTAAATTTTTTTAGTGGGAACTTCAGTAGACAGAGCTTTTTATTATTTCTGGACTACGAAATTAGAATTAGTACTATTTTGATTAGAGACAATTAAAAATAAGCTTAAGCTGTAGGATTCTTGATAGTCATCTTCATACACTACAACTCAATAAGAAATAAAACCGCTTTTCATTTTGATCTATTGAAGAAAGGAAAATACTTCTCACCAATAGCAAAAGTGCTTGATTAAAACTCTCCAGATAAGTCTATTCGAATACTTCTAGATTCTGTTTTATAAAATATCACTTATGTACCACACAACTAAATCTAATTTCAAAGATCATTGTTTTAGCGTTTGCACTGAAAAAAAAAATACCATAGTCTTTATTGTAAAAACCAAATGGCCAGTTCATTTTTATAGTATACTGACTTGTTCTTTTTTCTGGCAAGATGACCTAAGTAATAAATAACTGATTGATTGTAAGTTCAGTGAAATGTAATTACTTATTTATTGATTTTTTAAAAAGGTTAATCAATAAGACATTTAGAACGCTAATATATTGTATATTCAAAGATCTGTAAACAATTTGTGATTGATTTTACTCATTTTGAAACTAAACAGAAACGTCCTTTCCAGATGTGATTTCGCACGCGTTAATGCTTACTTTGCTAAGACTTTTGATATGACCATTTGGAACTTTGACGAAAATTTCAGTCTTTGAAAGTATCACATATTTCGTCTGAAGTATATTTAAGTTAGCAGACAGTAAAAGACGGCGGAAATGTTTTCGATATGTTATTAAACCACTAAAAACAGATGACTCACTTAACAGTAGCCATTTGTAACCTAAAAGCAATTATATTTAACACAGAAACATTATCCTGATACCCCAAAAAACATGATATACTATTCAGACTAAGGATAAGTAACAGTCATAGGGGACTACAGTATCTCCTATTGGGAATACCGAATAATAGGCGTTTGTGTAACTCACTCTAACATGTTAGTTTCCTGAAATTTCATGAATCTATTCCATGGTTTATCTTTCATAAACTGATTCTATTTATTTGATTTTAATAATAAATATAAACCATTTTACTTAGATATGATTTATAATTTCAAAGCCTATTTGATAAATAAATGGAAAGTTATTTTCATGTCAAGCATTACTATCTTTCAAAAACAGAAAATAGATTCATATTATGTATATTACTAAAGTTAGAGTATATATTTCTATGATGTCAAAGTTACAACATCAAATGAGATCTAATCTTTCACTTTACTAATGATCTATCAGTAAATTTAAACATATTTTCTCAGGTTCACAATACATTCCACAGTTGTGGACATTCTCTACACACGAAACATAATTTCGTGTTCTGAACTGTAAAATATATGCTAAACAATTACTTAGATCACTTAGAGTGGAAAATAAATACTCATTTATAAGCGTTCATAGTAAATTACTCTGTTGAAATTTTAATTGTAGTACTGACTTTAATCAGAGGCTCAAACCTCTAAAAGGAGTCTTCAAGGTCAAACCTTACGAGTGTAATATAATACGACCGAGATCACTGATTAGCATAAAACCAAATACATCCTTTCTGGTAATTAGTATAGATTAAGGATATAATCAACAAATTACACCTTACCGATCCGCTTCATTTAACATTGAAAGAATGAAGAGGTACTTGGTAAATTATAGACTTAAATTAGGTCTTTGAAAGTACTTTGATCACAAAAAGCATCAGTCATTCTCATAATGATGATTTCATTTCACTAAAAATTGATTTAAAACTAACTTGACTGAATGGAAAATAGTTTCTCCTCAGCAACTCGAAGTTTTATTTGGCTTAATCTGAGAGAACAATACACAATGTTAGAAACTAAAGGATCTGGGATTTTCGTATCACTTTTAAGTTGAAGGATTAAGTTACGAAACTCCTTCAAACTTTTACATTAATATAAAGTTTTTACGACTGATATATCAAATAAATTTTAAAAATTACAAGAAAGTTACTGACGTAAGTTCTCTCTTTAAACCTTAATTCAAATTCACTGAACTTAGTTGTTCAGTTTATCTATAGCCTTTATAAAAATAATGGATAGTATTTTTCACACTAGCGTGGTTCACATTCTGTTTCCAAACTCCAGTTGAATGATGTATTTGAAACAAACTTAATCTATTCTTATTGGGGTTTCGCCTATCTAGTATGCTTCTTTCAAATGGTAAAGATGTATGTGAGTCATTCTCATGTATGGTAATTTTGCTCTTTTTGTTTTGATAATACTTTTAAAGCCGAATGCATTTGAAAAACGTATATGTTTAAGGATTTTGGGATAAAAAGTGTTACTTATAGCATGAAGATGTTCACTATCATTTATCTACTGACTAAACCAACATCTATAAATAAATTTCATCCAAAGTGTAGGTAAATAATTTTTCTCGTCAGTGTTTATTTGTAATACGCAAGAAATCAAAAAGTGATTATTATTAGACGGGACATGAGTTGTCATAATTTATTAAGTCTAGTTGCCCTTTTATTTTTATATATAAATGTTCTTAACAAGTATATATAGGATCAGATTGTTCGAAATGTATTGCACTAATACATCACATAGTCCTGATAATCTTCGTCTTATTACATTATCGAAATTAAAATACCAATGACTACATATTGGTTTTAAATAAAATTATTTATCCATCAACTGATTAGTTACCGAAACTTTTAAGCGTATTTATTGAGACTTAGAGTGTTTGTTCCGTTCCCTCAATTCAATGCTTTTCAAACTGAAGTCAGTAAGTTTGATGTTAATCAATATTAGTACTCTGTATTTCCAATCCTTTAATAATAAAATAATCGTTCTCTATTGAAATTATCATAATGAAGTCAATGTAGAATTGAGAAATTACGGGTTTGTTTAAACAATTTCATCCAGGAACACCTCTGCAAGAATAAAAGAATTGTTTAATCAGACATTTTAAAACTTAGAAGAGAGAGAGAGCTTTTTAATACGGACTGACATCAAGTTGATGATTAATGACTATTGAATATATATATATTCGTTCACCATCGCTTTTTGTCAAAACATTAATGGATGTTGATACTTACATGGTGATCTCTCAAACGAACACATTGGTGTTATTGAATGAATGATAAACCAATCGACGCGAAATTGCTATCTGCCCAGTTTATTTGAAGTAGTTGCTCATCTTTCACATTATCATTATCACTGTGAAAATTTATCAAAACAAAAATATCAAGAAAATTATATTTAAAATTCCCACATACAGTTTCTTCCTTTCTTTTAATCATTGGAGGAGTTCAATTGAAAATTATAGTTTGTAAGCCGTTATGTATAAAATGTAGTCAGACAGTTTCGGGGTTTCGCCAAGATCAGTTTTCATTGTCTTTATCATAGACTAACATTGTTGAAGGCACTGAGAATCCATAACCTGCCGTAAATTTCAAGAGTTTAAGTATTTGGTTACTTTATCAAAAGTTTTCCCTGTATCTGAAATGATGTTAATATCAATATTTAAGTTTGTTTGGTCATTCAATAGTCTCAAATCCAATTTAGAACTTTTAGGCAAAACTGTTTTTAATCAGAACCTGTCAACACTTATTTTCTTATATACGAAAAATTCTATGGAACAGATGAACAATTGATCTTAAATCTGGATTAACTTCAATACTAAAATGTTATCTAGGGTCTAGTGATACAAAAATTAATGAATGTATAATTTATAAATATGGTGTTTTTCATTAGAAAATCATATTTATTCACTTTATCTCAGAAATCTCAACTAGCAAGAACAAACTAAAGCAGATATTTAGGCGGACAACTGCAATATTGAATTAACAAATGGTTTGATGCAAAATTTACGAAACATGTGAAAGAAAACTAATCATAAAACAGTAACCATATGGTACAAGAGCGGATAAGATTACATATTGCAGGAGGATAAATTAATTATCCAGCATTCACACGAAATGATATTAATCGTTTAGTAGAAAGTGTTTACGACTAGATCCATTTTTTACTACAAGTTTGTATGAACCAATCTAGTTTGAATTGAAATATGTGGTGGTAATGTTTAAATGTGTATGGAAGACGTAAATGCGTATCCTACTACACTTTTCGCTCAATTAACTTTCGTGTACATTTAGCATGAAACATCTCCGATGGGGATTTTCGGACCAGTTCAATAAAACACCATCTAAAAGAATATACTGCAGATGATCATTATTCTGCCTTATTGGCTATAGTTTATAAGAGAATTGCAAATTATCTTCACATTTAGTTTAAATGATTGTGAAGATTAATAACAGTTTACTGAAGGCA